GTATTTTTCGGAGTATAAGACACACCGGAGTATAAGACGCACCAAGGTTTTGAAGAGGCAAATTAAAAAAAAAAGTTTTTGCACTCTGCACACCTCCCAAAAATGGCCCATTTTTCATGTTCTTTGTGAAAAAAAAGGGCATGCATAGCCTTTAGAAGGCTTCTAGAGGGCTCCTGGGGGCTGGGGAAGGCAAAAACGAGTGAAAAATTTGCTGGTTTTTTTTCTCCTTTCCCCCCCCCCCCCGCAGCCCCCAGGAGCACTCTACAAGCCTCCTAAAGGCTATGCATGCCCTTTTTTTTCACAAAGAACATGAAAAATGGGCCATTTTTGGGAGGTGTGCAGAGTGCAAAAACTTTTTTTTTTAATTTGCCTCTTCAAAATCTTGGTGCGTCTTATACTCCAGTGCGTCTTATACTCCGAAAAATACAGTAATTAAAAATAACAATTTTCCCCTTTTACCCCAAACAATCTGTCACATGGTCCAATTGAGGGGCTGTTCAGTCGCTTGGAAACTTCACTTCTCCTCTCCTCAGCCACCTATGGGAATATCCTTGATTCACAGGGGAAACTATTTTGTTTTGGCTACAAAACCCCAGCTATCTCTATTCCCCCCTTCCTATCCCTCAGCACCATTGTGGCAGCACTGAAGCCTCCAAGATGGCCTCAGTCAGGCTAGCGTCAGAGTTGACACCCCAGAATAGCTCTGCAAATAGTTGCTTTAGTCTGGCAAGATTCCGTCTGTAGGTGAAGAACAATCAAAGCAACTAAGATAACTCCACCAGTCGTTCTTGGGACCTGACACTTTGCTATGGTGGGAATTAGGAAGCAGGCCCCCTGGTTGCTCCTTCACTCTGATCTCCAACTGTGGGGAATCTATTCCTATGCTGTGTAGTTGGCATTTATGCTTTCTGACTGAAGGAAGCTATTCAGGTTAACCATCCATGCCAGGCAAATAAGAATCACATCGCTTTAATATAATGGGGGGAAGGGACTGCAATTCCCTTCAATATTATTATCCCACCCAATGGCCTCCTGCAGTTTAGGTATTTAATTTTTGTTTATTGCTAATCTTCTCAGCTCAGCTAACTTTGGATTCAGGGTCCAGTAATTTCCGACAGGCATGCTATAAAGCAAGAGAGCTGCTATATAGCTGTTATGGTTATTAGCACATCATTCTAACAAGAAAATGGGGAATATAAAAGACGACGGTGATGTTGATGGATAGCCACAAGCTTGTCTTCCTTTTCTTCTGCTTTACACAGAGAAGGAAGGAAGCCTACTAGAGGCTTCACATTAACTGTTTCGTTTCATTTTCCAATCAAAAGTGATAGGGAGTCTATTGTTTGCCACCCAATCTGAGCAGCAGAATTGTAGGGTTCTGTGGAGGCTGCAGAAAAGAGACTGCAGGTTTCCCATCCCTCTTATAAAGCAATGCCTGCAATCCATTTTTGGTAGTTGAAGCCACAAATTAGGTTTTCTCCATCATTACTGTTTATCTTGCTTTTAACCATTTCCAAGCTTTGTTTATGTATATTACTAACTGTTAATCTATATCTCTGTCTATCATCTGTCTATCTAACTATCATCTATCATCTATCCATATCTATCACCTAATCTATCTACCTCTGTGTATCTCTCTATGTCTGTCTGTCTGTCTGTCTGTCTGTCTATCAATGATCTATGTATCTATCTATATCTGGCTATTTGGCTATCATCTATCTGTCTATCGTCTATCTATCTCTGTCTATCTCTCTATGTCTGTCTATCTATCTATCTATCTATCTATCTAGATAGATAGATAGATAGATAGATAGATAGATAGATAGATAGATAGATAGATAGATAGATAGCTATCTCCGCCTATCTACTATCTGTCTCTCTCTATATATATTTGTCTGCATCTATCCTCTCTCTCTCTTTCTCTCTCTCTCTCTCTCTCTCTCTCTCTCTCTCTCTCTCTCTCTCTCTCTCTCTCTCTCTCTCCCCCTCCCTCCCTCCCTCCGTCAGTCTGTCTGTCTGTCTGTCTGTCTGTCTGTCTATCATTCTATGTAGCTAACTAGCTAGCTAGCTGTAGCATCTAGCTATCTACCACACACTGTGTTCTCTGCCTTGGGCGCCACCAAAAACGATGGGTTTCAGTTCCCATGATCCTCCACTTGCACGGCACATGAAGTTATTGGGAGTTGAAGCTCAGCACGTATGAGAGGTACAGGTTTGGGGACATTGTTTTACTATGAAACCCTAACTGGTACCCGTGCATGGCTGCTGACTTCCTCCTGGATGTGTATTGGTGGTAGTATTTCATCTTTCCCATTTGTGTCCCTGCCCACACATCTATCCTACATTGCCACATTGGTTCCATTACTGACAGCACGAGCAATTTCTTTGCAGCAGCAAGAAGGGACCGCTCCTACCCTAACCTTGAGGTTTTTATCTCTCTATCACATTTAGGGGAATTCCAGGGAAGAAATGTGGTGCCATAGTGCTGTATGCTGAAGAGCTCAGCAATTGTCGGGTGAGTGGCTTGTTCTCTCTCTCATCTTGGTGGAGGGGGGGGAGTTAGGAACCCCTTCCCTCCCAACACCTCATGCATAGTGGGACATGAGTAAAATGAGTGGGGCAGCCGCTCTAAGATGAACTACCAATAAAGGAGTATATTTGTAGCGTAGGGTTGAACTGTGGGGGTCCTTGTTGCTCTCTGAGCTTGGTTGTTTCCTTGCAGATGTTTCATTTCCCAAACAAGGTCATTTCATCACTATTAGCACTGATCGTGTTATCTAGTTTGAGTAACAAAATGCCTGCAAGAAAATAACTCAGCTTGTAGAGAGCAACCGAGGTGAACACTTTTTACATCAATGTCCAATTAGAACAGGGACAAACAATTTTTGCTGAATCTACCTTTTTCCCCAAAAATAAGACCTTCCCAGATAATAAGCCCAATTGGGCTTTGGAGCGCGTGCACTAAAATAAGCCCTCCCCCAAAAATATTGCAACACAGCAGCAGCCATGAGGTGGCCACACTCACCGCCTCCTGCACATCAAAAATAATAAGACCTCCCTGAAAATAAGGCCAAGTGTTTATTTTTTTTGGGGGGGGGGTCAAAAGAAAATAAGACCCTGTCTTATTTTGGGGGAAACACGGTAGGACCATACTTGACTTTTGAATGGCATGGTGTGAATTGCCAGAAAACAGTGGAGGAAGATACCCAACCATAACTCACACTATTCAATGTCACTCAATAATCCGTGGTGTAGCTACCCAAAATAAAATTACCTATTTTTAAAATGGCCATATTTTGCGGGGATTCTCTCTTCAAATCTCATGACTTTTCAACCTTCTATAGCCAGAATCCTTCAGGATTTTATGTGGGAACAGCAAAATCTTAATAAGACTTAGCAATGTTTAAAGCCTTTAACTTAAAGTTGAATTAATTGTGCCATGTACTTGTACCATGATGCAGAATAATGGAAGGGACTGTGGAGGTCTTCTAGTCCAGCCCCCCTGCTCAAGCAAGAGACCCTATACCATTTCAGACAAATGGCTGTCCAGTCTTTTAAAAGCCTCCAGTGATAGAGCACTCACAACTTCTGGAGGCAAGTCGTTCCACTGATCAATTGTTCTCACTATCAGCAAATTTCTCCTTAGTTCTCAAGAGCATGAGGCAAACTCCTTGTCCCGACAAAAACCCCTTTTATTAATTGACTGTGAATTCTGCTCATTCACATCCAGCAAAGTCTTTCAAGGGAGAATTTACAGTCACAGACCTTATCTGGCTTGGAGACCTGACAGGCCGATATCTGCAAAACGTGGCAAGCAGTCTCCGAGAGTCACAAACCAATTAAGTGAACTAATTGTCTCCTGAAAACTCCACTCCCCTTTCCCTCCTCTTTTATTTGCTCTGGGAGGGGCCATTCATCGTTCACCTATGGCCTTACTCCCAAGTCGACCCCTGTTCTTTAGCTGTTCCCTTTGTCTGGCAACTCTGCACATGCTCACACTGGGAACAGGCTCCAGCTGTTCATCTGACTCACTGATGTCTGCTCTGAAGGCAACTGATAACTTTCAGATGGTTCTGGCCTCCTCTCTGCCTACGACACAGAGCCCTGGTCCAAGCCTTTCCCCAGACTCCAGGACTGGCCCATGTTCCTCCCCAACCTCCCCACTGTCTGAATCTGCTGCCAGCTCTGCTGGCCACTGGCGGGCCATAATAGACCTCCTCTTCTTTGTGGCAACCTCAGAACATCAAAAGCTTTGTTTAGTATGCCTTGTATACGCCAAATTACATTGCTACTTTTTGGCAGCAAGCCAAAACGGAGTTATAAATTCAAGATAGAAATCAAATATGCGGACAGTTAATTTTATGCCATTATGGCAGGGAACACGCTTCCCTGCCCCCAGTTCTGCTATGCTTCCTGCTGCCTCAACTTGGCTGTGTGTGAGAGAGAGGGGGGGGAGGGAAAAGAAAGAGAGAGAGAGAAGAAATGGGAGAGATATAGGAATGGATGAGTGGAGAGTATGATCTTCAAGTATGGAAGAGCTCATCCATGGATGAAAATGTCTTCAATTTATCCATTCCTGACAAATTTCAGCACTGAAACTCAGCCACTTGAACTACTTCTCTTAAAAGGGCCATTGTGAAATTTTGCCAGTAGCAGTTTTGAATGGAAGTTGATTCTCAGAGGTATAATAGCACCAAAAAAAATCCTGGACTGGCTCTAAAAACAGCCCAGACCAGAAGATGCTGGAAACCATCTGTAAGCTATTCATGTTCCTTGGGGAAAGAACATGAACGAATCATACAATGATAACATTTTTTTTAAAGAAAATGCAATCAAATCAGAAATGACTCTTTTGTGTTTACATATATATTTTGAGTGTCCGTTAGTTTGAAAAAAAAAAGTTTGAAACGGTGGGTTTGTTGTGTTTCTTACGGGTATTATTCCACTCCTATAGTTGATTACTTTTTGATGGTTCCACCACAAAACTGCGTTCGACTAAAGCGCGCTCGACGAAACCGCGTAGCTGACGTCATCACAGCGCGACGAAAAAAGCATGCTGCGAACGCTAAAGCTAAAATTAACCCCGAAACCTAAACCTAAACCTAACCCCCCCGAAACCTAACCCTTAACCTAACCCTAAACCTAACCCTAAACCTAACCCTTAACCTAACCCTAAACCTAACCTTAACCTAAC